TATATATATATATATACATATATACGCTACGAGGCGACGGGGAGTATTGGGACGCGCGAGCGAGAGAGAAAGACAGAGAGAGAGCCAGAGGGGATGTATACGCGCGGCGTTATTATTAATATTCTCGTAATACCGGATGCGCCGGCCCAATTAAAATCGGCGAGATCCATTCGTCCGGAGCGTGTGTGTCCGGCGGCAAGCGATTTTATCAATCGAAATTACATAATCAACACATCGGCGATGCATCGACGTGCACGCGCTCGTGCTCGCGCGCGTCGCGATACTACGCGTCGCTGTCGTGTGTGTTTCTCGGTATACGCTAAACGATTAAACAAATGGGAATCACTAGTGTATATATAGAGGACCACGGGTTCTTTAATTTTACAATTCTTCAGAGAGAGAGAGAGAGAGAGAGAGAGAGAGAGAACGAAAGTGTGTGTACTACGTGTGTGTATGAAAGAATGTATCTGTGTACATGTATGTGTGTGTGAGAGAGAAAAAGTGAGAGAACGAGAGAAAGAGAGGGAAGAGCACGCGAATGTTTGTCAGAGAGAGAGAGAGAGAGAGAGAGAATAATAGTAATAATAATGATAATTCACATTGCGTATCTCTCGTTGCGCGCCTAGTAGACTGCAAACAGTAGTCGTTGTTCGAAAGTCCGTACGTCGTGTTTTGGAGGCACGAGCAGGAAGTGTATAGTGTTTAATTGCAGCAAGTCCATCGCATCGACGGGACTTTTGCGCCGCTTTCCGGACAATTACTTTTGTGATTTATTCGTAATCGAGGCGAGCGAGTCCGAGGTGTGCAGGCACTTCGTGGGTGTCTCCGGGGGATCTCTACGATCGACCGGGCCGATCGTAAAAAAAAAAAAAATCGAAGTGAATTCGAAAGAGTCGGGGTGCAACGTCCAAAATCCCGGGGCGGCCGAGGTCGTTGAGGCGCGAGAAAATCAAATCGCTTGATTTCATTTGGAGGGTCGGTATAACGGGAGAACGTGGGAGAAATGATTTCGATGAATTTTCGAACAAACAAAGTCTCACGCCGACCGAGCATTTCGGCCGGCCTCGCTCATCTCTCATCGGCGATGTCGACTGATCCCCCTTTCGAATTCACTGATTGTTTACGAGAGAGAAAGAGAGGGAGAAGCGGAATTTTCTTCAAAATCCGCGTACACATACACAGAGAGGGAGAGACGAGTAGGTCCGCGCGCGGGAGGTCCTAAACCCCGTCCTCGCTCCTCGATAATTATATGAGTAATTGTCTTTTGTTTGACAGAAAAGCGATGCAAAAGTAGGTCACGTTGTATCCAGATATACTCCACATACCTTGTTATTCAGCAGCAGTTGAACAGATGAATATGATTTATTGCAGAGAGCCGTAATACCACAAGTGAAACCGTTCTAAGTATATTTGTTATACACGCAGATTGTTACCATTGCCACATGAAAGCAATTATTAACTCCATAGTCTGGGCCATTGTTAGACGAACGAGAACTCGGGACTGTTTCTTGAGGTAGGATTGCAACCCCGGGGATCTTCCCCGGGTATCTACGTAATTGTGCTCCCACGGAAGGGAGCATAATATAACAATATAACAATTATTCCGTAACTATGATTCTTCGCTCTTACTTAATCCTAATTGTTTACAATTGCTCGGTAAACGTTTACGGGGCGACGGGTCCAACTGAATTGAAGAAACCACGCGAAATTTCCCGATCGTCGCTTCAGCGATCGTTGACTCGAACTCGTTGTCATCGGTTTTCGGCGCTATAAGCGCGACATCTTTTTCATCTCGCCCGAACGTCGGGGGGATAATTCTTGCAATGGACCGATCGGTACGTAATTGCGTTTTTTTTTTCATGATTTTCACTCCATCATCGCTTCCTTCTACTAACGGTTTTCTCTTCCGCCGTTTCTTCTTCTAACGGTGCACGCAACCCTACGTCAAGGAAGGAAAAAGTTGCAAGAAAGTGAGACAAGTTGTGTCGTAATAGCCGCCGATTACTCCGTAACAATGGCAACGCCCGTACGTATGAAGTCTGTAATCGAAATGCTTTATATTTTTACACCGAACAAAGCAGTATATAACGTACAATAAACAATAAAACATGTCCTTCCATACATGCAACCTCAAGATGACAAATGTTAAATTTTTATTTTTACAACAGCCCACTATCACTTCCGATATCTGAGCTATATTTGAGCGTATAATTATAGTTGAGAGAATTATTAATTAGGATATTAAAGTCGGCTAGATTCATTTTAATCGACAACTCACAATTTTACGATTTCTACACGAATGATCGTCTAACTGTAATATACAAGCATTATTACGAATACGTACATACGTTAGTGATATTGTACCGTGCGACGACGTTTCCACGGCCGTTGATTCGCAGGAGGGATATCTCGAAGGGTCTTTAATTTTCTTCACTCGGAACACACGTTTCTCTCTACGGAAATTGTCACGAGCTGGCCTGTCCAAGTAAATAATTAGCGTTCTCCATTCGTCCGTTGTCGCAGCGCCGCGATTCATGTACATTGACGCAGGTTAATACCGAGGGCTTAGTCCCGCCGCGATGAACGAAAAGCGCTCGAAAATCAAAAGCGAAGAGAAGCAAGCGGTACCAAAAAAAGCGATGAGGAATTTGCGAAAGCGCCGATGCGTTCGACTCTACGACACCGGCACGCGTGTACATATGTATTTACGAACATGATAGATATATTGCAAACGTACACAAACACACACACACACACACACACATGCACAAACCCACGTACATACTCTTTACGCAAAGGTTTCCACCGTGCCGAACGTCCTGTCGAATATTATTTCCCTCCGCTCCGACACGATCCTTTGATCGAATCCGTAATCCGCGGGAATCAAGTCAAACAATATAAGCGACGAAACTTATCGCTTGTTGCGCGGAAATTGCCCTTTAATCTCGATGTAAATCCCTGCAAAATGCCGCACGCGTGACAGCCTTTGATGTAATGACACCAGATGTATAGATGATCGATGACCGATCGCACGATCGCGCACCTGGGATTGGAAGCTGCGGGAGGACTCGCGACACGAGGCGATCGTGCGATCGAGGTTTCGATAGGGCGTCGTGAATCTCCGTTCCCGACATCTCCGAGAATGCGAATTTAGCGATAAATAAGAAAGAAACGGAACGCGCGAATGTCCGCGGACGTTTCACGTTTGTGACACACGCGTGAAAGAGAAAGAGAGAGAGAGAGAGAACACGATGAGGGATAAAAGTTTTATATTAAATAGCGGACGAAAAGCTACTTCGAGCACTGTCGAGAAAAAAAGAGAGCAAGAGAGAGAAAGAGAGAGAGCGAGAACAAAACAGAGAAAAAGAGAGAGAGAGAGAGAGAGAGAAAAAAAGATAAAAGTCGCGCGACTTCATTATACGCGTAAGGTCATTTTTCAAATTAAATTCTCGCGGAATTTCGTCAACGTCGACCGAGCGAGCGTCGCGAAATTATCGTCGCATTTAATTTCCCGTGTATAGCTCGCTGATAAAAATGTCCCTCCGAGGGATAAAGTTAGCCGATATCAAGACGTTACATGGACAAACATTTACGTATACAACACGTCCTTCCATCAGCGACGTCACCGCCGCGTTATCACCTGGTCGATCGACTTGCAGTGTCTCATCGAGGTAGTTTCTCATCTCGACAAAGTACCGTATACACATACACACACACCGCGCGGTTTATTATAGCCTTTAAATATTGTCGAATTTAATTTACACGATTGTTACATAGAGGCCGTGCTCGAAAGTCCCGCGATCTTTCGCAGTTATACACTTTTTCTTAAGAGAGAGAGAGAGAGAGAGAAAGAGAGACATAGTAATTTTCCTTCTGTGGATGATTCAATATTTTAAATTGCGGGATTATTTGCCTGAGATACGGGAGTAGCGGAATCTTGTCTTGCGGCGAATTTCAAGCGCGAGTTTCGGGCTGAAAGTCGAAAGGATCGATCGAAAACCGCGATGGAATTGTCCGAGCGCGCAGCATTTTGTTTTTTTGAAAAAAGCGCGCGACCTTCGACACGGCCTGTATACGTGAGATTTGATATTGTAAGTTAAGGAGAGACGACTTAAGCATAGCGACGGAGACTACCGGCGTACACGAACGAATCAAATAAGAATTCACGTTTTTTAAAACGCCTCTAAATACATCGTAAGGACAAAAATGAAAAAAGGCAAAAAAAAAAGAAAAAAGAACCGTACTCACACGTACGTGAAAGTATACGTATCCGAGAAGGGAACTTTAATATATCTTCAATTCGCCAAATCGCGACGGAATTTTCTTCGAACGCGAAGCGGAGCGTCGCGCTACAATTGGACATTGCTTTCCGGGTGGAAACGAGAGGTGATCGAATATCTATGAGTGTGCGAGAACGAAGGGAGCGTGGCGTGGGAGGGGGGTGGGGAGGCGAAGGAGGAAGGGAAGGGGGAGGGCAGCAGGCGGCGGGAGTAAATCGTGTTGAATCGAGCCTGAAATTAATAATCAAAATTAAACGACTGGCGAAACTTGTGATTTACTACTTTAGAAGACCGATACGCGGTACGTCCTTAGGTATATTACGATTAAATGTAAAGAGGAAGAGAGGGAAGAGAAAAAGAGAAAAAGAAAAAATAGAGCGAAAAAAAAGGAAAGAACGAATCGAGGAAAATTCCCTTGTGAGACACGCACGAGTATAAATAAAGAGATTTTTAAACATTATCGTCCGTTTTCTCGCATTTTCATCCAAACGATCGGGAAAGAAGAAGAAGAAGAAAACGCGAAGACAGTCTTTTTCGTTTCGAGGTTCAGTCGTTAACTCATTTCGCGCGCATCGAATCGTTGGGACTGTGTTCGTAATGTTATTAGCCGTTAGCAGATAAACGTTTCTCGATCATCACAAGTCCGAACCAAAAGGTAAAAAGAAGGAAGAAAAAGAGAGATCGACCGTTCACAGGAGAAAAGGTACATACCATGTACACGCTTACTGGACAAAAAACACGAAATATGTATTTCTCGAGACGTCTTCATGCAAAGCCGATGAATGTTTTACGTGTATTAAAATGTTCCCTTTTAATCCTATTAAGACTTACAAAATATTATAAGTATTATACTTTACTTGTATATATACATATGTGATAAAAAAATATATATATATCTATATATACATCTTGTTCTTGTATGTAAAATTTATATTCGTGACACCTCCGGTTCTCCGTGCAAAAGCAAGTGTATGTTGAGACGTATTATATGCCTAGTTAATTCGTAATAATACAGGTATATGTCAAGCAACATGACGGGGAGAATCGATACCGTAAGAATTACACAATCGAATTTATAAATAAAAATTTTATATATTTACAGAAAAGACATATTTTTGACCTATTTTTACGATTTCATTAAAAAAAAAAAAAAAAATTTACACGCTTAGTTTTAACTAATAAAAAGGAAAACGAACGTGTGAGACAGACACTTTCAGTTTGTGCAAAAAGAAACAAGCGGATTGCAATTTGGTGTCTTATCACTTTGACAGGGATTCGTGCGCGAGAAGTACTTGTGCTAACGTCACCGACACCTGTCGATGAGAGAACTTTCGCGATTCAACGTGTCGATAAATTAATCTTCATTTACAAAATAGCGTGTCACACACACACATACACACGCACGCACAACACGCGTCCTGAAGGTGTGAGCCAACGCATCGACAAACGATATTGTTCAATGCGAACGGCACAATTCGTGAGTTTCATCGCCAAATGGAATGGTTCGTTTCACAGACGCGACGGATTATCACAGCTCTGCGGCAATTACATAAATCTGCATACCGTAGTGGAGATCGGCGATCGGTATTGCTAACTTGAAGTACATACGTCCGACTTAAATGTCGGTGGACGGCACAATATCTAAATCGGTGGCCGTATTAACGCTGGATAAGCTGCTGTCGCTCCAATCGGGCGGTGGGCAGTCTCTCAGCGGACTCGGCACGTCCACAGGCCTCCTATTTTGCATATCGTCTAATATACTTTGAACTTGCTTCTCTATGTCGGAAACTATCGGCTTATCAGACACCTTATCGTGATTGTTCCTTGGAAACTGATGCAAGGACTTCCTCACGATCTCGTTCGCGTTTTGATGAGGGACGGGAAAGTCATTCTTGTTGTGAAGTTGCGCCGCCGTTCCCCCATCATTCGCAACTGTTGACATGAAGCACAACGTTCTCGAAAACCGCACTAAGGATGGAACACTCTCATGTGTGTTATACATAATTGTGTTGTCAGGAATATTGATATAAGCAATGAATTCGAGCGAACTTGCCTTGCTTTTGGAAAGATTCAGGCATGACGGACGACTCTCCGACAGCTAAGCTAACGAACTGCGTGGATTCTTTGCTCGCGTTCCCCTTTAGAACGACGCATTCCTGAGGTACCCGCTCCACCACGGACAGGGAGATGTCCGATAAACCGTGTCCGTCGCTGGAGCTTGAATTGGGTGAGGAGCACGCCGGTCCCGTGTCGACGGGCGACATTGGAAAATTCACATTGCCACCGTTCACATGTTCCTTCTTCAGAGCCATCAATTGTTCCGCAATGTTATTCTGAAATTCTCTGCAACACACGAAAGTGGGTGACGTACATTAATTAAAGACACAATTTCTCTCTGCTCTGTATCAGCGAAGAGGATGAACCAACTTGATCGTGTTTCGAAGCTCGACGTTCAGAGTATCTTTGTAGGAAGACAGTACCGAGAGCTTTTCCTTTTCTATTATCATGTACTGATTTTTAATGTGCCGCTCGCGTGCAAGTTTCGTCTGCTTAGCGAGTTCCGTTCTTAATTCTGACATTACTTTCTCGTCGTCCTTAATTTGCTGCTTTAACGTCGACACCGCTTCATCTTTACCCTCTGTTGTTCGAGTGACTTCCAACTGATGCGTGAGCACTTTCACTTGGTTTTCTAAACCCGCCTGCTTGTGATCAGCCTCCCTTAAACGCGCGTCTAGCTCTTGAATCTGGCTGTTAGAACGAAGAGGTGATATTTGTATCAAGGCGGAGGCAAGAAAATGAGAAGTTCGGGAGTTCGAATCGAAATGCAACGTTCACAACGTTATCTACGTTAGACGGAAATCAATTCTTCGATTCTTTATGCCTCATCATGTACAAACCTAAGCAACGTTTCTCGTTCTAACATCCATGACTCACATTTCGCCTTCATCTGTTTAGTGTATTCCTGCAGTTTAACTTGACTGTCTTCCAGTTTAGATTGCATGGAGATGATGTCTAACTCCTGTGAATAATGGACAATGGCACATATAATTCATTCACAAAGATGAATATGAAACGCATGATGCAACATAGCATACCCCAAGCAATGATTTCCTCGGAGAAGAATCCACAGGTATCCTGCACAATATCTGTTGTATTTCATTAAAGATTTCATTGGTCTTCTTGTCTTTCACGGACAGATCCTCCAGTTCTTTTATTAAAAAGCGCAACGCGCGCACTGGATTAAATTCGCCAAATTTATAGGAACCGTTACTTGTTTCAGGAACTTGTACAGCTCGGTCCTGGACAAGTACAGACTGTACGCTATTCGTGGAAGATGGGGACGGTTTCCTACATGCGCGAGGCTTGAAATGATCCTCCGTCTTCTTTTGAGAGAATATCCTTTTCGAGCGAGTCGCATCCGGCTGTTTGCTGTTATACTAATTAAATGAGATAATTAAATTACAATATAAAAATGTACCTATGTCAGTTTGATCAGAAAGTTTGGTTTTATTTTATATTTCCTAGAGTTCTAAAATGATAAGCCAGCTTCCATAAAAGAAGTATGAGAATGCTATCGAAACATGACAAAAAATTATAGATAATAATGACAGTCTCTTGATTGATGAATAATTGGATTCTACTAAATATAATAAGTTGGATGACCTGAAAATTAAACTGAACTTTCTGACTAAACTAATACATATGTATTAATAAAAAAAAAACAATACATAATACTTACGTTACATCTATTTTTCTGCAATTCCTGAACATTTGTATTCCTTTTTGCATCTTTATTCTCCGTATGTTTAGTAGACTTAGATTGTGTTTGCTTCATATATAATAGATTCTGCTTTCCAAAAATATGACCCCAGTTCCGGGGAGTTTCAGTGCTGATCGGAGTAGACTTCTTTTTCTCCGCTGATGCTTTTTGCCCAGCGGTATTAGAAGTCGGCTTGATTGGTGTACTTTCTGATCTCTTTGTCTTATCTTGCTTTTTTACAATAACCTCGACTAATTCGCCAACTAACACTATTTCCTTGGAAGGTGAAGAGTTTTCCCTTGTTACGTACTGTGTAGAATCAAATGAAAAAAAAAAGTAAGTATCGCATAAAATTATAAAATGAAAATAATGGTAAAATGAAATGGAGTTATAAGTATGGAATTCCAGTGCATATTGAGCAGGCATAACCTTTTATTATTTTACATTTTACGGGCACTACAATTTAATTATCATAAAAGTAATGTGTTTAACATTTTTAAGAGAAGGTAATAACATTCTAAGCAATCATATAACATTATAAAATAACACACAACAATGTATGCAATTGTTCGATGTGGTATTGTTTTCACCTTAGCACTCATGATGCCGTATTGATTATTAATTGCATGCGGCACATATTTTCAGAAATAATCTATTCGATATATTAAAAGAGGAAACCACCGTTTTTTCTACAAAAACACACGAATAAATATTATTTGAAACTTGAATGACTACAAACGACTTAGCCCCAGGAAATACGCACAAACGTAAACAATAATGGCTGTTACACACAAAACGCGCTTACCGCGCGGCAAAGAGCTACATAGTAGCCAATCGACATGCCGTTTTTCCGTAGAACTTTAAGTTTATTGGCTACTCTGTCGCTTCTTGTTTAGCGGTGAGTGTTTTCGCGTTTTGCGAGCAGGAGTCACAAGTTCGCGAGACATAGCAGTTGCGTTCAGCAAAAGAAGCAGCTAATAAACGTTTTTCGCTACGCTTTGCAACTGTCGTGAGGGAGAATTCAGGGAGAATTCACATATTGACAGAAAAACAGAGGCAGAAAAACAGAACAGCCAATCAGAATTCAGAGCTGATAGTAAGCTAGATAAAAGTTAGTAAGTTAGATAAAAGATAGTAAGTTAGATGAAACAGAAACTGTTGACTATCAGCGCGAGTTCTGATTGGCCGGTGCTTTTCTGTTAAAGTGTGAATTCTCCCTCATACTTCACCAGCAAAAAGCGCTTATTAAGCTGCTTTTTCCGTTGAACGCAGCATAAGTTTATTTCGAGTTGGATCTAGTGAGATATAATAACAGGATAATATAATATTAGATTATATAATAATAAGATAATATAATATTAGGAATGCCCCAATCGAAACACAGAATTTCTAGTATATCACTAGATCTAATTAAATCCAGCACAAGGCTGTGTGCTGCAGATTTTATAATTCGGTCTTAGATCAGGTCTTTCATTTTCTAGTTAACTTAAGGTTTAAACTTAATCTAATAATAATGTAAGAATTGTATTTATTTGTCATAACAAAAAAATTATAATTTTTTTATCATGATTGGATGATTAAATGCCGCCTTATCTTTAACGTATATTCCCGAACACACCTAGATCCATTATTTTTAGGGAAATAATAGATAGCCTGGCACCATCTAGCTATATCGACCAAAAGTTCTACCGACCAAAAGATTCCCGACTAGATTCGAATCTTGGCTAAGACTCGTGTTCTGAACTCTCTTTTATCGACGAAAAAGCCTTAAATGTGGCTTTTCAGCCAATCAGGTAGTTCCTAAGTTTCTTTTAGAAACATTTTTATCGATAAAAGAGAGTTCAGACTTGAGGTTACGGACTTGAAGGTCAGGGGCTCGATTCTTGAATTATTCGTTAGTATTCATATACGTAACATGCGAATGATATCCAATGAGCGTACAGTTTTTCTAGGAAAGCAGTACGCTCATTGGATATCGCGCATTGCACATCACACTGGCAGTGAAAGTCCTGAATATAATAGTAATAGATGGTTGTGCCTATTGTATATTTCATCCGTTAAGCGGGATCCACAATGAGAATTTAAGCTCTAAGGTTTAAGAAATTGACTAATCACAGTCGATTATTCTCCTCAAATTCGACTGTGATTAATCAATTTCTTAAAACCCGCATTAGACTACGGATTGGAGATTGAGATTGAATTGAAATTTGACCAATCAGTGCAAAGTTCACTAAATTTCGCTAAACTTGAATTCAATTAACTTTGTACTAATGATTAAATTCAATCTCAATTTCAGTCCCCAATCCATAGTCTGATACAGGCTTAAAGCTTAGAGCTTAAAGTATGTATTGTAGACGGTGTTTACCTTAGTTGATTTTAGATTTATCTATATATTCACACTCCCAATATCTAAATGATAGATAAGTTAAATATCTCTACTTACCTAGATACTTTTTTAGATGATATTGTTTTTTATTAGACTCTATCAAAAATTTATAATAAAAATTACGCAGACCATAAAATTGCACAATGGTTAAGTAATTCGTCAAAAAAATCAATAATCATTAACTGCTCACTAATCGCTGTATTTTTTGAACGCAGTCATTGGTCCATTAAGAGTTGGCAGTCGGAAACGGCAGTCGAATCGGTCTTCACAGTTAACAGTTTGATACGGACTTAATGTAGATTGATCAATTGAAATAAATGGTCTGTTTTTTTTATAATAGTTTCACTGCTAAATTGATGCAATAAGTTCGAGGTAAGTATATTTTAGGTCTGTTCGTTTTCGCTGCACCGCTGAACTAGTGCAATAAGTTGAAGTGAGAAAACATATACCTGTCTCGCTTCAACTTATTGCACTAGTTCAGCGGTGCAGCGAAAACGAACAGACGTTTTGTCTCGTCTTAACTTATTGCACCAGTTCAGTAGTGTAACTAAAAAGAACAGACCAAAGGAGATAAAATCGAAATTTGTTGATTCGTTAAAATCTTAATCTCCAGTCCCTAGTCTGATACGGGCTTAATGCATAGGTTCATATTATTTCATTCATTTGATCGAAAAATGACTTCAGAATATGGCTCATAACATCATTTCAGATAATTTTTAGATGAGATAACATTTTTTTATCTAAGAGGAAGATGAAAGTGTTTTGTATTTCTTCCATCTAAATAAAGATAAAGATGATCTATTTATTCATCTGGATAATCATTTAGATAATTTTATCTAGATACCGGCCAAACACTATAAACTAGGACTTAAAGAACTAACTCAGGTTGCTTTCCAGCAAGAGACACTGGTCGACACAAGTGTAATTGTATCATCAATTATCGTTTTCTTTACCAAGTGCGAAGGAAGGATAAACAATGATATAACTAGACTTGCGTCAATTTGTTGGCGTTTTCGATTTGCTGATTCAACCCGACTCGGGTAGTGCTCGAGTAATCTACGCAGTACCGTAATCTATAGTTCAAGTTACGTATAGTTTGCAATACCGTAGCGATTAGCGGAGTGACGCTGCCGGAGTCGGATCGAGTTGTCAAATCGAAAACGCTATGTGTCTCTTGCTGGAAAGCAATCTCAGGCGGGCATTAACGGAAGCACCCAATGGCGAGATATTCGTTTGCCTGTCGTGGAAAGCAGCCAATACGAGAGGCGCGTAATCACTTCGTTGTGAATCATCTTTACGAGCGGACGTAACGAAGCTAAAGTATCTAGCTCGTATTCGTTAATTAATGATAAAAGTACGCTTGTTTTACGGTGTAAGCCGCGGAAAATGTCGCGTATTGTATCTCGCACGTGATAACGTAGAGCTTTCGATAGGGGTTCAGGGTAACGATACAGGAGTCGCGTCGAGTCCACGACGGACGTTTATTTGAATCACATTCCTCGTGCGTGGCTCACATCTCGTCCTTGTAAACATGGTGTTTGGACTCGTCGGAATAATTGTTTTTTTCCGCAAGATCGATTAGCGGGCGCGAATTTTGCGAATAACACTGCGGCCGAGCCGCGCGCGCGATTTACGCCACGGAACCGGCGTGCTATGTGATATTCACCGGAACCGGGGGAAAAGTATGGACGCATATTTGCTGCACGGTAAGCTCACCGATCTGCCATTAGACATATTATAAATTGGCGTTATGAATATTCGCTCGTAATGAGCGGGATTATCGGGTCGTCGTTAGCGGCGGCATGCCGTTTCCCTGCTTCGACGCGTCAACGCGTGAAATCGGGGAAGTTTCGTGCCTTCGTTACCCACTGCCTACGAGCTTATCTGGAATCACTCGAATCGTGCTTGTTTTCCCCGACATCCCTACGTCCGACGGTAATTCGCGTTACGATTTGGGAAACGGTAGCGTCATTGCGATAAAGATCGGATGATAGACGATCGTGGGAGATATCGTGCCGAGTATTTGCGCGGGCATTCGTGCAATGATCGGCCTTTACTAGGTTATGGCAGTTTTTATAAATACACACATGCGTGCGTCGTGTTGCCTACGGTAATTCATTGTGAAATTATTCTTTTTGCGAAACAGGAAACTGCACGATTTAGCGATAAACTTGGGCAACCAATCCCGGTACCTTACCATGGAACAGCCGGACACAACACAAATACAGGTTCTGAAATCCGAAGGACTAACCACTGATGTCGATGTCCAATCGATCCATGTCACGGAGATCGTCATTGATGAGGATACAAAAACTGCTGCTGCTGCTGCTACGGAAGATGGCCGAGATTCGTCAGTTGTGTGCGAGCCACAGCCGCAAGCTATCCTGTCAGCGGATAATGTCCATAGTAACGTAGAATCTAAGTCAGAAGATAGTGCGGACGTGAGCAACAGCGAAGTATTATCCGGCGATGTTCACAATGACGCGACTGATAACTTGAAGCACGATTCGGTGCAACAGAAGCCGGAGGCATACGTCCTGGAAGAGGAACCTATCGAGGTCTACGAGCATATTAAGGATGAAGTGAACAATTCAACTTACGAATTGGAGTCCTTGTCAAACGAGGAAGACCAAAGCCTAAATGTGATAACCGAGTCTAAAGTAGTAAAGGAGGAGAAGAAGGATGCGATACACGTCGCTGATATAAGCGGCGACTCTAACGTAGTGGAAGATGCCAATCAATCGGAAGTTGTAGATAAGCGGTGTCCCGAGCTGGACAAACCTGTCAGCGAGCACTCCGAGACGCAGATTAGCGACGAATCGGCCGGGGAGACGATCAAGGAGTTACACGAGAACGACAGTAACCAGAATAGCTCGATAGTAACGAACGCCGAACTGACCAAATTAGTAAACGACGAGACGGAAATAGTGGTAGTGTTAGAAGAGACTATCCCGGACGTGGACGCAGCGACGGACAGTTTCGTCATCGACTTGTGCGACAAGGACGCCGGCAAGGAGTGCAACCAGAAGACGACGGGCGTTCCGCAGGAGAAGAAGTCCCCGGAGCTCGGCGATTCAATCGACCGCGGCCAGGAGAGCGACGACAGCGCTATAATAGAGGTGATCGCGACGGAGCCGGTGCGGAGCAGCGAGGAGTGCGCGGCTGCGAGCGATAAATGTGATAAGGAAAATGCGAAGGTAACCGAGAACGAGGCAGCGACTGACGGAAGTACGAAGGGAGAGGAGAGTGGCAGAAGTCTGACGAACTCGTTGAGCAAGAAGGACGACGCACCGGTGCTCGGCACCGTCCTCGTCATAGACGAGGAGATCACGATTACCGAGGACGTCGGCCCGCCGGCGCCGAGTGCACCGAGACTTGAAAACGAACGCACACCGAGCACCGAGAGCAAAGAGGCGGACTCGACGAGGAAGAGGAGCGTCATCCAGGACATTTTCGACGACTGGGGCGTCGAGAACACGGACGAGGACGCGCAGTCGAGCTCGAAGGAGCACGACTCCGTGGAGATCGAGCTGAAGAGCCTGTTGGACGAGGCCAAGCCGGAGCAGCCTCCGAGCAAGCCTCCTCAAGCGGCCCTCGAGGAGACGGCCGCGAGCGAGAAGAGCGTAACGAGGAAGCCGGCCGGGCAAACGGAGAATCAAAAGAAGAGTAAGACTGCCGCGAACCCGGACGCGCCGTCGTTGAACGAGAAGGACTCGCCGAGAGGTTCGCGCGCGTTCAACGCGACGCTGCAGCACACCGCGAAGAACCGCTCCCGCCACCTGACCAGTCAGGTAGCGTCCTCGGCGGAGGTGACGGAGGTGTTGAAGGAGCGTTTTCGCGAGAAGCAGAAGGTCGTGGACGCTCCGCGCTCGCCCGACATATTCTTCGTGAAAAAGCTCACGCAGCGGCTGTCCAGCAAACTGGCCGGCAACCCGATACCGTCACTGCCACAGCAACCTGCCCCACCCTCTTCCACACCCGCACCACCGACGGTGGAGAACTGTGATAGGAACGCGACGACGATCAAGGACGGCAATTCCGACAACAAGGAGCTGTTGGCCATCTTGGAGGGCGACGTCGATCCCGACTGGGCCATCCTGAAGCCCCCGACCCTCACCGAGGAGAGCAAGGCACCAACGTCGAACGTCGAGCACTCCGATTACACCGTCGGCCCGCCGAAACTCGACCCCCTGGTCGAGCGGGAGATGGCGCTGAAGCAGCTCCTGGAGTTGCCGGTCTCGTCGTCCAAGAAGACCGGGACGCGGAAGAAGAAGACGTTCAAGCCGGCGCCCGGCAGGGCGTCCAAGGACGCCGCCGAGGCGAAGAGCCCTTTGGCGCAGGGCGCGAAGAACGCGCGCGCGAACGAGGAGCGCACGGAGCAGATCGACCTGGAGCCGGCGCGCGAGCGGAGCAACAGCCCGAAGGAGCAGGACGTCGGTCAGGCAGCGCGCGCCGAGGAGTCGAGGTCGGGTAGGAAGCGCAAGCTCACCGAGAAGGCGAGGGAGCACGAGCAGCAGACGACGATGAAGCGGCAGAAGGTGTACAAGGGTAAAGTCGCGCTCAGGAAGCAGGACGGCAACGTCGCGTCCGACGAGGGCTCGGCGAACGAAGCCCAGGCCGAAGCGGACGGTGCGTTGGAGATGCCGAGCGTCGACGCGAAGGAGCCGGACGGCGAGCGGTTCGACGGCAAGGCGGCGGAGCCGACTCTGAGCAAGCCCGAGAACTCGCCGCTGAGACGGCCGAAGCAGAGCCTCGCGAAGAAGGGCTCGCAGCCGATCACCAAGAGGAAAGTCGTGGTGAAGAAGCTGCTGCGCCAGAAGATCACGCCCAACAAGAAGCAGGTGAAGCTGAAGGCGAAATTAAGCCCGCCTTCGCCGAAGAAGACGCCCTCCCCCAAAGTGATACCGAAGTCGCAGAAACGAACGGCGAGCGAGAGCGCGTCCAGCGACGCGAAGCCCAAGAAGAAGAACATCAACGAGATCGACAGACTGCTGCAGGACGAAGGCGTGGTGAACCTGCTGTACGACGTGGAGCAGCCGGACAAGAAGAAGCGTCTGGTCCCGATCACCAAGTCGCGGGCGAAGGTGATGGATCTGCAGAAGGTGCAGCGCGAACTGAAGATCCGGAAGAAGCTCGTGCGCAACGCCGTGCTGCGGTTGCGCACCTCGTCCGGCAGCGTGACGAAGGTGTCGCCGAGGTCGAAGAGAACGGCCCAGCCGAGCGACGCCGCGGACAAGAAGAGCACGGCGGAACAGCTGACGTCGCCGAAGGCCCCGAACGCCGCCTCGCCCACGGAGTTTATCCTCCCGGCGAAGATCAGGAACGCCGCCGAGGCGTCCATCATCGTCAGGAGGCATTCGTCGAGCTCGTTCTCGAGCGCGTCCGGCAGCCCCAGGGTCAGCGTCGACACGCCGGACAAGCCCGCCGGCGAGGCCGCCAAGTCGACCGACGACGGCGCGGTCCACTCGCTGAGGTCGTCCGCGAAGAGGCGGCATTCGCAGGACGAGAAGGTCAGCGTGAAGAAGAGCAAGAAGAAAGCGGAGAAGCCCGACGCCGTCGACGCCGGCGTCACCGCCACCGCCGCTGCTAGTGTCACCGCTTCCACCACCACCGCTACCGCGAGCACGACCACCGCCAACAGCGCGGAGGAGAAAGGAGCGGTCGCCGCTGTGCGTCCGAGTAAGAAGTCGGAAATCAAAAAAGTCGCCAGCAAGCAGCAGGAACATATCCCGCCGGTCGAGAACAGCGTCACGTCGAGTAAAGTGACGACGAGGTCGAACGGCGCGGCAACGGGGAAGGTAACCGCCAAGAGCAAAAGAGCCGTGAAGAGCAAGGTGAGCTTCGTCAAGCCTAGCGAAGCCGAAAGTCCGGAGGATTCTTCCAAGGAGGAGGCCGAGTTGTCGGCCTGCCTCGCCGAAGCCGCCACCGCTCTCGCGATCGTCAATGCCGGCCGGTCTGGGAATAACGCCAACACTCGAAAGAGCAAAGGTAAAGACGATCGTGCATCTCTCATCGATATTAATACTTGGTATGATTGTTAAACTGATTGCGATTCAATCGGTTGGTAACGACAATACACATACTGAGTATCATAAAATATTCCAGTAAGTACAAGTATCGTGAAAATGTTGGAATTAGGTAATACCAAAACCGAGGCGCCAGGTCAATTCCGCAATAAGGAGATAAATGTACGACGGCACGGTAATCTTGTGCAATTAATACTTACGCCATCCTCATCGACGAGAGTAAGGAACGCCCTGACGTTGCAGGTGAGGATGTGATAATCAAATCCTTCGGTATACTTCAGGACGCAAATATAATACGGTTGACTCCTGTATAGCTCCGGCATCTACAATGAGAATTTAAGGTGTAAGACTTGAGCCTTAAGCCTTGTGAAATTGACCAACCACGGCCGATTATTCTTCTCATATTTAACTGTGATTGGTCAATTTTTTACAGCTGAGTGTTTAAACTTTAAGTCATACATCTTAAATTCTCACTGTAGATGCTTAACGCGGAGAATCCTGCAGTTTCGCGTTATCTGAGCTCCATGGGTCATCCGTAGATTATATGAAAATACTTGATAAAAGGAAGGTATAAAATTATTATTATTATTATCATTATAAAATGAATCTTTAACCCCTTAACTTGTACGCTCGAGTTAATTCGAGCGCGCTAAACAGACCAAACTGTGCACACTCGAGATAATTCGAGCGGCGTTGTATTTTATGCTGCTATAATTTTTCACACTCAAATATAATCGAGAATTGAAAATAACAATGTGAAAGCAAAGAAAACAATTTTTTTACATAAAAAAATTGATTTTTTCGGCCGGTTTTTTTCAAAAAAACTGTGCGTTAAGAGGTTAACGTTATAATATTAAATTCTCTTATTTCACTTGAAATAGTACTATATTTATGCAAAAGAACATCTTTTTAGAAGAGGCGTAGGAGAAAGAGATAAAGCGACAAGAGTCGAAAAGACTATGGTTCATATTCTCTTTTATCAATAAAAATGTCTGAAACGTAGCTTCTCAGCCAATCGGGTGGTTCCTAAACCACTTTTAGAGGCATTTTTCTGGATAAAAATGAGTTCAGAATATGGATTTACAAATGTGGTACCAGAATAGTATTTTTGTTTAAAGTATGTCTTTTAAAGGAAGACTGACGCCCTCTTAAAGTTCCGATGAATGCGCTCAGAATACTTGTCACGTTATTTGATTTCTATCGATAATGAAAGTTCAGAATACTGACTTAGAAATTTAAAGTTTACCGCGTTATACGGGAGTCTACTGTATTTCAATGGCTATATTTAACTATATTATTATTTGTTGTTTAATTATTAATTACAGATTAAAAGATTTTTTGTCAAATAACTCTAATCAGAATAGGAGTTTCTTATAGATTCCCGATCATAAAAAACAATGTCGCTTGCCCATCACATCAGGATTTAAAGTTGTTTTGAATTTTAAGATGAGAAACTAACGATTTATAAAAATAAAAAATATATAATAAGCCACTAATCGTCAATTAAATGGTAAAAATACGTGAATTATTTACATTGATTCCTCGTTAGCAAAGGATGGAAAATCGTCTCACAAATAGTAAAAGTATTTGTTTGTTAAGATTATTGTGCATAGAAAAGCAAGCACTTTTTTCCCGTTTAGCAAGATGAGTGAGAGCGAATAGTTGGATTTTAATGTAATGGGTTCTGTTCGTGATAAAATCTTTTCGTGATAAAATTTCTAAAATTTTATTAAAAGTGTACGAAAAAAGTATAATTCTAAAATGGCTGATGAAAAAAATGTGTCGAAATAAAGAAGTTTTATTAAATTTCAAAAACGAAGTCTTTTAAAATAATTTTTTTTAATTAAGTCACAATAAATTTCGACATTTTAGTAACACAAATTTATTTAGCCGATAAGTATTTTGATAAATAGCTGATGAAATCACAAATTTCTCATCTTAAAATTCAAAATAACTAAAACCTGACGCGATGAAATAATTTGGCCAGCGACATTGTTTTTGTGATGGGAAACCGAAAATCCATAAGAAACGCCTATATTGATTAGAATTATTTGACTTTATTATTTATTTTGACTATATAATTTATTTTGAATTATTTGACTCGGCCCGTTATTAGTACCGTGCATTATATTATTGTTAATTAATTAATATGATATGTTAAATATCCGAGAATTATATTACTTCAATCATTTAAATACATAAGAATGATCGAATTGAATTGTTATTAAATAGAGAGTTGAATAATGATGTGTCTGGAAATACTTAATAATTTTATGGATATACTTTCCTCATATCTCGTTTGCATATCTCGTCAGATCTGTACGTGTTATTTGTAACGCCATCAGGTGATGCAGGAGTTCAGAGAGGCTCTCTCGATATTAAACAGAGACGACAAATGTAGGGTAGTACTGTTGACTTCTACGGGCACGAGTTTTTGCGAAGGTCTCGAGCTCTCGACGTTATTACGCTCGAATAAAGAAGAACGGCGGACTGTCACGCAGGAATTAGCGCACGCTGTCAAGTAGGTATTTGAACAGCGAATATCGCTGAATATAGAATACCTTTTCGAACCTGTCGCTTCTCGTTTCAGAGACTTCATTAAAAGTTTAGCTACCTTTAACAAGCCTATAGTGGCCGGCGTACAGGGGGCTGCAATTGGACTCGGTGTGACCATGTTACCCTTATTCGACCTCGTGATCGCCAGCGATAAGGCGACATTCTGTACTCCTTACGCGAAATTAGGCCAGATCGCCGAAGGAGCCGCCGTCTACACTCTTTCGCACATACTGGGCAGCCCAGTTGTAAGTCTCACGCGCGCGTTATCGTGACGTCAATTCAAAAGGGAATTCATGTGTAAGAGACTAAAGTGTCTTCTTCGTTTCGACAGACGAGCGAGCTTCTGCTGGGTGGAAGAACGCTGACAGCCAGCGAGGCGTTAAGAGCGGGCCTCGTAACGCGAGTTCTATGGCCCGATCGATTTCAAGCAGAATTGGTACCATCGTTACGGGCCATGGGTGAGCAATCGTCACAGGTGAGTCACGTACGGCAATGCTTCTCGATTGTAACTTTAACGACGGGCATTCGCGTCGATGTTTACATTTATTATTGCAAGTATATTCTCGCCCAGTTTCGCTACATACGTTACTTCGCACATAATTGCACAGTATTATAGCCAAGCACGCTACTAACGGCTTTGTTCGGACTCGTTGAATCTTGCACGAGCGCCTTTTGTTTACCTTCACAAGCGATAGCAGTAAGCCATGTATGCGGGACCGGAATAGAGTAACTCCTGCACGTTTACTTCGGTCTTATCCTCAGTATTGAAAATGCATAAGTGCCTCTCCGGGCATGTGCATCGGTAATACGTCGAATACAGGTCAGTTCGTATGTAACCGCAAAATTCCAACGTATCGCACATTCTCTTCTGTGTAAAATCATATATAAAATTTATCATGCAGGATGTCCGATAATTATCTCGGGATCCGTGATGTGCAGGTAGATTAAACCGAATGGGAAAATTATGTACCGTTTTGTAAAAAATCGCGATAGTTAACGAAGAATGAATCTGTATGAGTTAAGGCTCTTGGATACTCGCTATGGCTATCCTTCTTTGATGACATCAGAAGCGAGGAAAATCATGTCAATTTATATGATAGTATATGTGGAAATAAAAGAATAGATGCACAAAATAACATTTATGAGAAACATTAGATCGGATTCTATGAAGAAAAATAGGTTATTTCTGAAAATGTCCTAGCAAAGATGAACGTCTGATTTCTAGAAGCGGAGTAACACAGTGAGAAATGAGGGAGGGGTATCGGTTGATACCCATCGTTGCTAAGACATCTTCAGAAATAAGCCATTTTTCTTTATATAGAGGCCAGCCTATTATTTTCAACGATCATTAATTCATATAGTTTAATTAATTTCTTATTGACTATTGCGATTTTTGCAAAATGGTACGTGATTTTCCTGTCAGTTTAATCTGTTCTATTTACACATCACGGATCTCGAGAAAGATTTCAAACACCCTGTAAATAATTATAGTAATAATAATGGCTATTATTATTATAATAAGATAATATATATTATCAGTACATATACAAGTGTTACATGATATATTGTACAAACTTAAGGAGCATCTTTCTGATGTAAATTGAGGTAGAAAATTATTCTATAAACATGGGTCCAATTCAAAACAGTTATCCATCTATAAATGTTAAACATTTATATTTATCTATAACAATTTTTAGAAAATTTGTTATTAAAAATGGAAAATAAAAAAGAACAAGTTTTCAAATTAAAAACTTAGTATACGGAAGGAAAGTTAATACTTAAGCTGAATTAAGGCTTCGGAGTAGTCAGCCAAGAACTTGGCGTTGACAGTAGCGACATAGTTCAGAATGACAAAAAGGATGAACTAATAGAATGCGTCTAGCAAGTGCTACAAATGCTTCAAAACAAGGAAGGAAAAGAAGAAACGCTTTGAAGGATTTGCAGCGTTTTCGCACTTATATGCGTGAAAAGTGGCGTGTTGACAATGAAATTTTGTGTTGCGTACTATTTCATTATTATTTACTTAATTGCAGGTGTGACTTGTGATATAAAGTGGACAAAAATCTAGATTAGCTTGAAATTTAAGCAGGGTCTATGAAGAGAATTTAAAGCTTACACCTTGAATTCTTGTTGTACACCCCGCTTTAGTCTCGATCTACAATAGATGAAGTAAGCTTTGAGCCGTAAAAAATCGACCGATTACAGTCGAATTATAGAGAAAAAATCATTTGTGATTACTCAATTTCTTACAGCTTATTACACCTGTATTATAGATCGAGAATTATACATAGAAGCATATTTTCTATTCCTTTCAATATCTGTGAAACCGTATGTTTTCCTATATGAACAAGGCCTTATTTCATATACCTTTCACAGCTATTTATAGATTGTCAGAAGGGAAAAGGAGAATTTCCGTCTATTTTCACAAGCGATCTTCAAGCGATCTCAAATGTTGTTTTATCCAAATATCTTTTTATTTGCAAATGACATGCAATATTTCACAACGCGTCATTTCTCGCCTATGAGGTCACGAATCAGATATGACTGTGGCGACTCCGGAATTTTAATAGAACGTTTAATGACGCGTGTGAACAAATAAGGACCGATCATGTTTTTCGTGCGGCTACTCAATTCATTTTAGGTCGCACCGTACTGCATATTAATACCGAAGGACGTCAATTTGAACAATTTATATAATCTTTATGCTTCCTTTCTTATTTTTCATTTTTAATAAAAAGAACGTACCAAAAAATTTTGTCATTATTCCATAAACTCTAAACATTCGTAGATAGTTTTGAATTGGATCCATGTTTATAGGATACTTTCTATTTCAATTTACACCAGAAATATGCTCCTTAGTTTGCACAATGTCATATAACATTCTCTCTCTCTCTCTCTCTCGGAAAAAAATCTGTTTTTTTCCACATTTTCAGCGGTTTTTTCGGTTTCTTTCCATGGACGAATGAAAAAGATGGGGAAACATTTTTCATTTTTTTTCGATTTCTTTCCGAGTAAAAATTGAAAAAAGTGAATTTTTAAACTATGTATATATATTACTATTATTATAGTTCTAATAATAATAATAACGCATATATATAATTTTATTATTCAGCAAAGTATTGAGACAATTCTCTCGTTGTGCGTCATCACACATGCAAGACGTACCTTGACACACCTGAATACTTGAACAAGACCGTGCTCCTCGTACGTGTATTTTTGCAACTTCCAGTAATGCGTCTGCGGGCACCTGCAATTCACCGTCACGTTATGCGGTATTAAGTAGCTGTTACTCGTATTGCCTTCTCCGTGCACTATCACCGCCTCCTGCCTGTGCGCGCATGTCTCCAGTTCCGCTATTTGCGTGCAGAACTGCCGAACAACGGTGACTTGTTAGGAATACATTAGAGGCCAAGTTGGGAAACGTCGTGACGTTTCGGGCGCTCACAGATATCGTCTCGATCGTCGGGTTATCCGTTTCGGTTACCTTCAGAAGCGATCTGTTGTTGAGTATCGCGGACGAATTGTCCGGGGTTTTCGTCCACCGCCACGGGCACTTCCTCCCATTCGGACAACGGCACAGCCTTTCCGTCAAACCGGACATCCAAAACAGGTCGTGGACCACATTGCATACCTCGTGAGATTCACAGAGATGTAAATCGCTCTCCCCCTGAACCTGTTTGAAAGAGTTCAACGGACCTTCGTCATGCTGTCGTGCACTTGCCGGAGAATTATTAAGTATTATTACGCGATAGAATTTCATATATACGAACTCCTTTCATATACTTCAACGTAACATTGTTATCCTTACTGCTGATTGTCGCGTACACGCCGGCTACCGCGCTTATCGTGCCGACGAACAAACAAACTCCGGTGAACATACTCGCGGCTTGAGCTTTGAGCGCGTTAGATTCGACTTGTCACTTGACTGTGGCGAGCGATTGATATTGACGCAAGCGGAATTGCTGATACAATCTCAATTCCACGTTTCCTCCCACATGACTCGTAATTACGAAACTTATTAATATTTATGACATTATATCGTTGCCTTCGGCGTCGCTCGTGGAGTAAATTTATACAGAGGTGTCGCAACACGCAGTAAATAAAAAAGAAAAAAAAAAATGCGGAGGAAGCCTATTATTTCACATTGTAAAAGGAAATCTCCGTTTTTCCCATAGTCTATGGAAGCAACCAAGGCTCTACTACGTCACAGCCTACGGAAAAAGTTAGACGCCGCACTCGAGTCGGAAACGTACCTGTTGATACAGCAATGGTGTTCCGCCGAGTGTCAGACTGCTATAAAAGCTTATATTGATGGAAAAATTCAATAGACAATGGTAAGTACTTCCGATTCGCGCGAAGAGAATCACGAGTTGCAATATTTGTTCAGGGTATTGTGCGACTATTTATCGTGGATGGTTAATTTCCAGTGCAACTACTACCAATATATTGTGACCCAACAATCTGTGTTAGAAATCGGGAATGACGATTTGTGAATAATACAAATATACGTGTAAGGTCAAAAAAAAGCATATACTTCTGGTGTAACATTCTACGTCAACGCACGATATTTTAGATATAAGATATTGAATCACTCTCAAAAACAGATGGACTATTTTACTATTAGAGATCATTTAGATATAAATTTATTATATATAAAAAAATATATTATAAATATATACAAATACTTTTCCGCAGTATGTTATTATTGTTAGGTTAAAAATAAAATTACATTCTGTATTGATTGTAACTGTATCTTCGGTGGACTAAATTTGCTGGCTAGCAAAACTTTTGCGACATCTCCGCAAGATATCAATTCAACATAAATGTATGTCGTTCTGTTGGTTTGTAATAAGGTGTAAGATTTTGTAAACGGCCTCGTAAAAGGTGTTATAAAGAGAGAAGATCCAAAAGTTGCTGGTTTTTAACTTTAACATAATAACTTTCTTACATGTGTGACAAATACGATAACTTCGAGTAAGATTATGAACGTTTCGCCGGTAACTTGGTAAAAACTAGAAGCAATAAGAAGAAAACTAAAAACAAAAAATCTGTTAATTGTGTCGTATCCAGGAGAAGTTTAGATTTTATATTGGCATACTTCACTGCTCAAGATGTTAAACGAGAAACAAAAGAACATCTACTATAATTTTTCCATCTAAAGCAATATATTTGTACGAGTGACATATTTTTGTAAAATTGACAAGTATTTCTATACCTAAAAAAAATGGCAGCAACGTTGCAGATACCGTGTACGTTCGAGTTTTCCAGAGGCAATGGCACCGGCGTGGCGGAAGCGATCGGAAATTGGGGCTTCTCTAACAGAGTATTTAACGCCGGCCACGAATTGCAACGTATTAAGTGTCTCTTCGCAAAAATGGATTCTTTGTGAGAAATGAGCTTTAATCCCATCGAAATCGTCGAGACCCACCGCATTACATATATATTCTCTGTGACATCTTTTAAATAAAATCAAATCAACATTTTACATTTTCAATGTCATCGAAGAACCCCGTCATGTCAATCTGTACACCATCGGTGGACTAAAAGTCACAATACTATTTTCCGACGAGTTTCGCTACATATCTCGTGTCCTTTAAGAGATTTTGTTTTTTTAGTCATTCTCTGGAGATATTACAGTAAGCAAGAAATCGTTTACACAACGTTATTTACAATGATATGTTATAACATCTAGCGCTTTCAAATATGTAGTTCTTAATGTTTTATATAACGTCACATTGTTAACAATATTTAACCCAAATATTAAAAATACTATTTCTACACTATAATTTTAATATTTAGGAATATTATATTACCAAATAACATTTTGAAAATATTGATAAAATCTTATGTCAAAATGCTTGTAAAATCCATATAAAATCAATATTTCAAAAGATTGATTTAATGTTTCTTGCTTACTGGGATATTTTCACATTGGATACGAGATGTGTTGCGAAACTCATGGGAAAATGTTGCAATTTTTAATCTGCCGACTATGTGTGTGTGTGTCAGAAAAAGTTAAGGAGATCGTGTCGATGGATTTCAGACGCAAACCGTCCGCCAAACCGGTGTGCGTCAAGTACGATTGCAGATATGATCCCGAAGCCTGGCACGTTAAGCCTAGTCCTGAAGAGTGCAAACCAGCATGGAGATTTCCTATAAACAGACCCCTAATCACTTATACATCCACCGCTACATCTCTAAAGGTCGCCAGTTTGATTAATGTCGGAACAGACTTGGACTACGTTATACCAGGCCGCACTTATGTCCAACAAGGCGTACGTACACATTCTTGCCGAATACATGTCAATCGTCTTGTATTCTCCAAAGTGAAAACTACTCGCGGGAAAAAAGGATTATGATGTCTATGTTTTGAATAGTCTATATATAATCATATAATATTATATATATCCTACATTAAAAAAAAATATTGTTATACAAATATAATTGAAGTAAATGCTTGTGTTTGTGGCTACCCACGATGTGAACTTAATTCAATCAAAATATTTCTTCCGCTTTTCATTCAACAGTATTTTTATTTCGTGTGGACATGTATAATTATATATGATTATATATAATTTTATGTGATTATACAGGATGTCCCAAACTAATCTCGGTTCCTGTGGTGTGCAAGTAGGACGGGTGAAACCGAACAGAACAGTCGTGTACCATTTTGCAAAATTCGCAATAATTAGCCATGAATTAATTATTTTGCCTGAACTAACCGAGCGCATGGGAAGGGGTGAGCGAAACTCGGTATAAAGAAAAATGGCTTATTTCTGAAGATCTCCTAGTAACGATGAATATCAACTGATAGCTAGAGGCATGTTTCTTTTCAGCACACAGCCCATATGCCACTCGTTGTTTGCTGCATCTCTTTAGAAATTAATTGATGCTCATCATTGTTCAAAAATCTTCAGAAGTAAGCCATTTTTTTAAATATAATGTCTAGTCTATCCCTTCCCGTGCGCTCATTAGCTCAGACAAAATAATTAATTCCTCACTAACTATTGTGAATTTTGCAAAATGATACATGACTTTTCTGCTCAGTTTCGTCCATTTTACTTGCACATCACGGGAATCGAGATTAGTTTGGGATACTCTGTATATAATCTTTTTTTTTCCCCGGGCTATTGTATGTTATATTCATTTTCAGACGCCGAAATGGTACCGACGTGGTCCGGACGGTTGCTGTCAACCTAGTTGTTTAGCTCCGCAATGTCCTGTACTGCGTTGTCCAAGATACAATTGTTGTTAATCAGTTGGTGGAATCCATTAAACGGGATATTCTTGTTCTCCCTATCTTGTTTCCTCCGAGTCACGATGTCGATCGAATATTTCCTTCGCTATTTGCAGACCTTCACTATTCGTTTATTCGCGCTACGTATACAAAAAGAAATAGAAATAGAAGTAGGGAGAGATACAAGGATGTAAGTGGTGATGCAATTAATAAATCAATCAACGAACGACGAGATCGAGAGTATAGTGAGGTCGTTCAATTTATTTTTCTCGCTTTAACAAACACAGTGTTCCGAACCTTTGCGCATTGCGTGAGAACAATTATGTTAATTGTATGGTGGGGCGGCAAGTGATTTAACTGACTGACACTGCAAGATTTTCACTCTGCATTGTGTACACATCGGATAAATGCAGTATCTCTAAATACGCTAACGTTACAACAATGTACACTAATTTGAATCTCTTAAAAGTAGAAACTGATCTCTATAAAGTAGCAGTTTACACGAGTCTAAATAGGGAGGAGCTCTGTGCTGCCATTGCTGACGACTATGCATGAGAAAACGTTCTCTCCTGCATGATCTTTATGTACAAAAAGGAAAATATATATATTTATATATGTATAAAACTGAATCGATATTACGCGAGTCAATGGTACAATATAAATATGAAAAATGTACGAGTGACAGTACAATCTTTTTTTGCGCGAGTCAATAACACATATGTTACGCGAATTATTAAAAATATATACTTACCGTACCTTAAGCAAGTAATATACACATGGTAATATGTAAATTAAGACTAGATAGAATATCAGAAAGACCTTATCTACTTCTACGGCGCCAATACAGATCGAGTGTGATCGAAGGTATAACTCATAAGCTAGTTGTTTTAACGTAGTAACACGCGGCACAATGACGGCTGAAAGCGTACTGGCAAGAAGAAGAGAGCACATTGCATCCGCTGACGTTGATTCGGTTTCGCTTTTTCTTTTCTTTTCTCGTTTCTCGACACATCCTGCCCTAAGTCGGGCATAATACTGAAATTATAATAGCAATCCCGTTAGTGTTTCTCGAAAGTTATTATCATGAATTAGTGACGCTAGTTGGTTTCCGTCGAAAGTTTATCAAGTTTTGTAAATGAGATTCAGTAAATCTGAGAATTAGCTTGGTTAGAAAAATAAACTCGACACAAATGTTCTACAAGTTCGAGAACTAAACTCAAAGGTGCAAATTTTAGACCCGGTTTTTCATTTTCTGGTTAATTTGTGGTTTAGGCTTAACCTGATGATAATGTAAAATTATATTATATTTTTTTATTCATGCTTAGTCATAGTCGCAAAATTAATTTGACACGGAACTTTCTTGTCCAACCTCTTTTCTCATGATTTTGTCAATGTTAATTTTACGACTACTTATTGATCGTTCGAGTAAAAGAAAAGTGTTCGTCCAATTTTATAAATTTGCTGAACCGATCACAAAGGTCATTTTATAGACACGTGCTGCCTACGTCGATTCTGCACAGCCAACAGTAAAGAGATAAACATCTTTTTGTTTGAAAGTATAACGCAAGAAACCTTGGCATGCGTTTTCTCGCTTCTGACGTCATTAACGACAGTCATGGTGACTATTCCGGAGCCTCATTAAACTTTAAAAGTTACCACTACAAAACTATCAATTTAATGAATAAAAAAGCATCATTTTTGCATTATTATCATAATAATGAAGCATTATTATTGCATTATTTTGCATCGTTAAGTCTAAACCACAAGTTAATTATGAAATGGAAAACCGGGTTTCGAAATGGGTGATTAACGAAGCAAAATTGAATTGAGTCTGAACTTCATTACCTTTGAGTATATAATCCGTCAACAGAGTGGGTACAGTTGGGCTATCCTCGCTAATGGCTTTTAGTACTACAAATGAAATTATTGTTGATACGTATGTATATTTAGACGCACACATGTGTGGCGATAGTTCACGTTGAATAATCACTTACTTTTGATAAGTACTTGCAAGGCTTGATTGTTCGGCGGACCGCTGTCCGTATGATATGGGATAACAGTCGTCAGGTACTGCAAAATAATAAATTACAGTCGTCTCTCTTTCTCCTTCTTAACTTACAAATCAATCGTCCGCAAGCGCCATGCGTTCGTTGATATTGTTGATGCCGCATAAAATGCAGCGGGCGAACGCGTAATTCGACACGCCGGTGTTGCGTTACCTTCGGCTCCTGCAAAGACCTATGCTGCGGTAACGGACTAGTACCATTCTGCATTTGATTCCTCTTCTTTGTCACGTGATGCTGCCTACGTCGATTCTGCACAGCCAACAGTAAAGAGATAAACTGATTCTTCAGCTCCTTCTCGTACTCCAACTCGTCCCTGAGCGCGAGCTCGGCGATCAGAGTCTCGCTCAAGGCTGCGACCAAGGACTCCATCTCCCCGAGAAGCTCCGTCAGCTGACTGGAGGACAGTTGCTTCAATTCTGAAAACACGTTTAAACGTTTAACGCTTCGTTCTTTCTTTCCTTTCTTTCTTCCGTTAGAGGTACTCGAGAGATACTCCTCGTCGGATAGCAGAGAGCGAGGAATCGGATTTCGGAGTATTACTTTTCTCCTGGAGCGGTGATCCGAGCACTTCTCGGCTTCTTTCCAGCGCCTCGTCGCTGTCCAACAAGGAACCATCTGAATCCGGGGATCTCTCCATTGATGGACTCTCCTGCGATGACAGGAAGACGCAATATCATAAGCCGCTCGTTAAACCGTTTATGCCGCGCCGAGAATGATTTATCACGCCGTGATTACCTGCATTATGTCATCTATCTCACGCAGAACCTCCTCGGCGGTCTTCAGCGGTTCCTCCGGGCTGTGAGTGTCGGTACTGCTGGATAAGATTAAAGCATGCATGTCCAAATCTGTCGCAACCGCCTCATCTTCGCTACTTAAATCCTCTAGCTCGGGTCTACAGCGAACAGAACAAAAGCATCGAATTTAAGCGCGCTAACGATGATCGACGGTCAGAACGGGCGCAAAGAACATGCGGTCAATTCGTCGTAAGTAAAGGAAAGTCGAGAGAGCGGTCGTTCTAAACGTTTCTCGTTGAGCACACGTAGCTCCCTGTCGAGCAATTGAGCCGTGTATGTCACAATTAAGGCTCCTGTTCCCTCGCCCCAGCTATCTAGATTAATGACGTCAGAAGCGTGAAAATGCGTATGCACAAATTCTCGCGGGATACGCTCGAAGCCGAGGGATGTGTCCGTAAGATGTGAACTTGCGATCGATGCACACTTGTGAAATAGTCCGAAAATTCTCCTCTCTTGTTTTACTTTGACAATCAATCAATAACTATGTAAAATTAATGCGGCAAAATCACGAGAAATGATAGGCTAAAAAAGAAGGTTGCACGTCACGTGAATTTTACGATTATTTATCGATTATCAGAGCTGCGAGATTGCTAGAAATGTGACATTACCGTCGGATTCAAAGTGACGATTACTTACGATAAAATTATGGCAAGATGATGATTTATTCGGAATTAACTTTAGTAAAATTCGTGGTTTTTTATGCACAAATAGCTTGTTCATGTTTTTCGTCACTTAATGGCGTAAGGTAAAACAACATTCTTCTTATATTCTTATTCAATGTACATTTGTGTATGTGATAATCTCTGAAATGTCTTTCAGATGAAAGAGAGGAAACTATTTATAATTCTTCGGAGATATTAAAATTTCCATTTCTTAAAATATTGCTAAGTCGCCTTTTTATATAATTCTTTGCATAGAAAAAGTAGATTTTATTAAGTTTTGTGGTCACGATGCTAGAAATTGGTTGGTGAAACATTTAGCCATGTAGCCAATCCATTTGCCGCTTTTCTGTAAAAGCCGCAAAAGTTGATTGACTATTATAGCGCGCATTTTAATATGAAGCTTTTCTTCTCATAGTTGATAAAATGCATCTGAAAACGAGCCTTATTATCGAACAGTTTTATTAAGTTTCTCCACAGTTATTATGTACCTAATTTTCTAATTGTTATATATTATATATAGTATATCAATATAAAACATCAAAATACTTTGAAATATTATGAAAATATGAGTTAAAATGTTTTACTCATCTTAAAGGTAAATGGCTCTTTTGAGCCTTTATATCAACATTTTTATTTCTGTAATTTTGTTCTAAATTACCATCTTACCAGCTTTCCAAAAGTTCCAGGTAATTTACCGGTAATTTACCGGGCAAGTTAAATTGTTTTAACCGTCAGATTGGGTCACTTTCACCTCTAATTAGAGCGAAAGGAAAGGAAATATGCTCAATTAATCGCAAGTGCCATTTTATGAACATTGATTCGACGTATTCCGCAAGGATTTTGGGCATACGTTATCTCGCTTCTGACGTCATCGAGCAAGACGACTGTAACAAGGGAGATGGGAGGGGAGTCTTAATATCTCCTCATAATTCTGCGGATTGACATATTCGTGCGTGGCAACATTCGACCGCACTGCAAAGTAAATCGACGAGAAAGTAATCGAACGCGTGCGTGCGATATCGGGACGCGACATACTCACCTCTCCGTCGAAGCTGGCGCTTCGTTCAAATTTAAAGCGGGCATGTGCATCTTCCTCGCGTAGGACTTGCTCCAATCGATGGGCAGTATATTGCCGAAAGTCCCGGTGATGGTCCACCACATCCTGCAAGAAAATTTGACGTGTCAGATATATACCGGCTCTTTCTCTCGTACTGATAAGTGCTTCAAGCGATAACACGCTGACGCATGAAACATTCCGAGACGTCTGCCGAAAGTCACACGTTTCGCTCTCACCGGTGTTAGTCGCTCACATGTCGCGCGTAGTTTTTTCCTAAGAACATACGCGCGTGAACAGACGCGAGTCTCCTCGTGATGCATTTCCTCCAGGCCGTGTTGCGTCTTCCGGTCAAGGAAAACGACTTCGCTTCGATTCTTATGTCACAATTCGCACTCTCGTGTCATCGGTTTCTTTCGCTCATGATATTACCACGAGTGATTCATGTGTTCCGTTCGTCGGGAACACGACGCGGCCTTTCCCCGTTCCTCTTTCCGTTAAAAGTGCTTGCACACACGTCTCGTAACATTTTCCGGCCCTTTAAAGGCTGATTAGCCGGGGGAATGATAGAGATGTCAGGTAATTTTAGCACGAAGGACACGGTTTTACGAGGTATTACAAGAGCGTGACGCTTAATGCGCGATCGATAAATGCAGATGTTCCCGGGGGAATGATATAATGTTGCGGTATTATTAAATCGCGACGTACAACACACGTACGTACACACACACGCACAACGCAGTATCCCACGATTTCGAGGCGCTTTCACGTTTTCGAGCGCGTTATAGAGACACGCGGTATTTGGGACACATTTAGGACACATTCCGTATACAGGCGACAGGACAGACAGAGAGAAGCGCATGTGAGAGAGAGAGAGAGAGAGAGAAGCGGGGAGGGGAAGACAATTCGCAGAGTCTTCTCGTTTTCTGGGACGCCGCATGAATCATTGAAGCTGTGGGCGTTTCCTGCGCTACGGGCGTACATGTACGCACTGCATAGATAAGGCGTTTAATCTTGTGCAAATAAAACGCCAGTCAACGACGCGGCGGCATGCCCTGGGAGGAAGTGCGATTTTTCACGCGGACGCCGGTAGAACGCCGGAGGAAGGAACGAGGGCATCTTTCATTCGCGTCGCGAATTTGCAAACAATGTGTCGTGGGAGTCCGCGCAAAACGGAGACCGAATCCGCGGCGTTACCTGGGGACCGACGTAATGATCTCTAATTAGCCGCTCTTACGAATTTTTCCCTCGCGAGAACCCGTTCTAATACCTCCGCGATCGATAAATCGACGGCCGCCGATAAATTTCTCACGACGCTTTGTTGTAAACGGGAGCGATTTAACGTAGAAACGCGTCGACGAAATCTTCGATGCAGAATCTAAAGGGGATCGACATTCTGTCTGTTTCCGCCTCGAGAATCGAACTTTTGGAGAATAATGATGATCACACTCAAATTCCAGTACTTTCTAATCGCCGATTGCGCGAATCACTCCGTACACAGAGGAAAATATTAATTGTGCTGTGAAGGAAAGCAATTATTTGGCTTATTTCTCTTCTTCTAAATAATGGTTATCCTAAAGAACATTTTCTAGACAATAGTATTAAAATATATCACAAATATTAGAAAAGTTCATTATCATCAAAAGAAGAATTTGCCCTCCTTTTAAGTATATAATAAACTTTCGAAATCGAAGAAAAGTTAAATTCAGCCAATTTGAATATAAGTAAACCGAAGTTTTAGTTTTAGTATTTTACTTTAATATTCTGAAATACTAAACTTACACAGTAAAAAATTTGGTGTCAAATTTAACACATTTCATATGTCCCAAATGGTTCACATACATTTTTGTGTTAATTTAATGTGACGCACAATATGAATATATTTAAAAGTATTGCAAATATTACATCAATAATTAACACAAAATAAATATCCATAATAGTTCATATATCCATAAGTATTATTTAACATTTACAGATGTTGAATATCGAGTCTTGACACAAATTATTGAGATAACGTAAATATAATATATTCTATTACGGGTATATATTATAAATTTATTACAAAAATTTTAACAAGGACCGATTTTTACACAAGTACAAACTGTTTCTTATTGTATAGAATTTTGAATATATTTTAATCAATTTGATGCTTATGATGAATTTATACTTGTGGATATATAAACTTGTGAAATATACTAAATACCAGAAAACACTAGAAAAAAATATAATATTACTTGAATGCAGTATATATTTTTCTGTGTGTAAAGAAATGAATCGCACCTGGCCTAAATAATGCGACTTGAAGCTACATAGCTGAGACGATCGGTTTCCTTGACCCACCTGAATATTACAGACGTGATTGCATTTGCGGAAATAGAAAAACGTTGTGACGGATATTAGAAAAAGCCGACGCATTGATCGGCTATTCGATATCGTGGGTTAACAAATCGAGGTCAACTCAGTCCACTTGAGTTTCTGATTAAAGTACCTTCATCTCCAGCGCACGCGTTTATCAGCACCGAGGGCGTCTCTCGTTGAATTCTGCTTGTGCGAAATCCATGAATTTTCGAGCGAATCTCATTTTCTGCCGGGAAACTGAATTTTCACGCGAATTCCTTCAAATTAAGATAAATCGCGAGTAAAATTTCCTTGCCGCGCGAGATTAAACAGTCCCGAGAACACGAGCAAATTTCGAGGACCTATCGAACTCGCCTCGCTTTTGGAGCGCATCAAACCGAGAAACGAGAAGATGCGCAGTGTTGAGACTTGCGCATATTTATTTATTTAAAATCAACATACACGCTCTTCCGCGCATAGCTCCCCTGCAAATTCGCCCCTGAGGAGGGTATCGTAGCTGGTAGTCGTCGTCCGAGGCGCGTGCGCGCCGATATTGACGTTCGTCCCCTATTCGGAGGGTGGTGTAAGCTCGATACGAACGAAGGAGCAAAACAGAGATTAAATTTTCATGCCGTGCGGCATCAAAACACCATAAAAGAGGACGAAATCCGCCACCTCCTCCTTGCTTTCTCACAAATTCCTCCCGAGTCTACCCCGGGTTAATCTCGGGTTAAGAATTCGCAGGGGGTTGAATATCGATCATTGATTCGATCAACGATTCGATCATTTATCAGCGCGATATTCAAGCCGTATCTAACGATAGACGTATCTAACCTTCGGCTCGAGGAGCGCTTCCGGGGCGACCGGCGGTGCTACCTGGGTATACGTTACTTAGTCGCGCGTTAGAAAGTACGCTTACAAAATTACGTGGAAATTGCGTTTAAACGCGTCGAATCGCGACGACGGGCCGGCGTAATGCGCACATGATGCTGCCGCGGAATGTGCAGGCGCGCGCGCGCCCCGCAAACGCGTGCATTCGCATCGCCGCGGCAGCTTTGTCGCAATCGCGGGTCGATGGCCTTATTAGTGCGGAATAGAGGACGTTCCATTTGGATACTAGCCGCCATCACCCTCGCCGAGAGTGCCCTTTAATAATACCGCACGTACAACGCGGCCGATCGATGGCACATTTGAATCGGAGGGGCCGTGAGTCACCGGAAACGCTTTTCGGCGATGAAAGAAAGACAGCCAAGTCGGCCGAGTCTCGAGCGGTGTGCTAATTGATTTTCCATTTCTCCCTCAAGATGAAGAGACACGCACATGTGTACATTTGTATCACGCGGTTTGTCGGCTTGCGTCGATCAAGTTTACGAACACTACGCCGCGAAGACGAAGACTCGCTTTTCCCCGCTCTCCGTTCGCTTTTCCTGTTCTCGAAAACGCCCGGTGGAACGCACCTGCGGCAGAAGGGACGGCTCGCACCTTCAAGGGGCGCGGAAAAAATCAACGAGCCGACCGGAGACCACATAATGTGTCTGCATAGCGGCGAACGGCGGGGCTCGATATGAATTTAACGGCTCTGTGCGTGGCTGGGCGCGGAAGATGAGACAATTTCGCGCTTCGTTGAATTTCACCTGTTCGCTCACGCTCGTTAGCGCAACCTTGTCACCGTCCCCGTCGTTTGCGCCTTATGACGAAAATATTTGCCAGGGTCGTCCGCCGTGGTGTGTGAACGACCCTCTCCGCGCAATTGTCAAAAATCCGCCAGACGGTTCTGCAGCTGTGAGACGCTCTCTACGCCGAAATGTCCGATGTCGGAGATTCCCGATTGCCGGTTTCTTTAAAGCGTCGCGCTGATCGTCTCGGGATAAATAATATGCGGCCGGTTAAATAATATGTGAATACGTTAAATAAATATGTTGTGTCTCGCGACGCTCCGTGCGCGGAACTTACGTGAACCGTGCGTGCGTCAGCGGGTTCTGCGAAAGAGATGTCCCCGGTGAGGCTGCTGCTGTGGCAGATCTCGTCGTACCTTGTTAGGAGATCCACGAGTACACCGCCACGGCATTGCCAAATAATAAAGAATAAAAAACAGCCGGGAATGTAGAGGATCGCCGGGATTATATAAGAACTGTTGTCGAATGCGTTATGTATTTTTGTCAATAAAGTAAATGTATAATTACTATTGGTATTTTTTATGTACTAATTTGTACTAAAAGAGGGATATTATGTATTAATTTGTACGAAAATGTACTTTTTTCCGTTTAACAATGAAATAAAATGAAAATAAAAAATTTGTCTTATAAAATTGTAATGTCGACTGATAAAGATATATTATTAGAAGAGAAGGTAGTATTATGTCTTTTGTAGATATCATATCTCCCCTTGATATCTCCGCTATTAGGTGATGAATTCTAGCAATTACTTATGGAATAATTTACTTGGTAGCTCGCTGTTACGCAACGGCGCAAATATACACTAGCCGGCAATTTTTATAATGCATCTTTGACTTCGAGCATTTTGAAATATTTTCAAGGTATATTTTACCATTTAATTACATAATTACTTCCTCCTCCTTCTTTGACTTATTATCACACGAATATACGTGCACTTGCGTATTTTGTTCGTTATTTAACATTTTTAATCCACTCTACACATTTCGAGTTATGCAAACAATAAATAATTAAACAATACCATAACATTTCACTGCTAATTTGACCTCCCATTAAAATATATTTAATATGGCTTCTTTTGCAAATTTTTCATATATCGAATTAGTTATTTCAAGTTAATTTTAAAAGTCTATTCGTTTTATAGAAATTGTCCTTTTGACAGTTTTGTATCTATCTTTTGACAAGTAAGTCAGTATCTACATTGAAAATTCAAGATTATATTCATTACTGTTCTTTCCAAAAGAGTTTATTTTGAATAAGTATATAAATTGATAACAAAATACTGCGTTGTTTAAAACGAAATTAATTTTTTAAATCTATTTTACTGGAAGGTCACATTACCACTCCTGTTTTTTTTCGACTCATTATGCAGTATATATTATGCCACATTTTTATAAACAACATCTTAAATAAATATTTTATAACTTGAAATGTAGAATCGATTGGACAACACTTTGACGAGTGTAATTGTTAAATTTTCAATGTAAAATATCGATTATTAACAAAGTTATTGTGTGCAAAATGTAAATGCAGACTATAATACCACCTTCTCTTGTATATATTATTATTATTATTAATATTTAAGAAATATAAGAATGAATTATTATAAAATTCTCTCGGGTAAATTTTGTTCTTAAATCCCGCGGTACGAAATCTAAACTACGAAAGACAACCGTTCTGAGCCATTCGGCCATTTCTTCCTTTTTTTTTTTTTCAAGGTTATTCGTCGACAAATACGTTCGCTTTAACATCTCGTCCCGTATATTTTACAGGCAATTGATATTTCATAGATTCAAAATGGATAAAGGGACAAAGGATCTGTCTCCAATCGACCTCGATAGCAACTGGGCTGCACAAACGAAACATCAATGTACGAATTCTGCAATTAAGACGCATTTTTCGTTCCTCCCGCGACGCGGAGCGGAGCGGCGACGCTGTGGCCGCTTCGAAGAGAAAGCTGCAAAGCGTACCGTAAACATCGCGTAGAGAGGCACCTAGCTGCGCCGACACACTTCTTCAGCGGGCAATCGATACCCGCGATCGCTCGCATCGCTCGCGGGTTGCGTGTACAAAAAAAAAAACTCCGTATTTTTTTTTTTACTACTCTGCTTTTTGCTTAAGCATGTCCGACACGCGAGAGATAGATCGGAGCGCTGCTCTTAGACTCGACTATACTGTCGCTAACAAGAAGAGATCATGACACACACGAGTCTTCGCCGATTCCAACATCCATCTTCGAGTGAGCGTGAAACGGTTGAATCATGCAATTAGTTGTATAGAGAGACGAGACACGCTCTTTCAAGTATTATTAAGGGCAATTCGGCAACACGAAGAGACTCGCTCATTAAGCATTATTAAGAGGAATTTGACCGCGAGGTTGTGTATGACGGTCAAGTACGTAATCGCGATAAAGAATTCTCGACTGCACACGATGAATTCACGTTGGACGAACGTGCACTGAGGGGAATCCCTTAGTTGCCAGAACGAAAGCTCTTTTGTTATTTGAAGATCCGTTAGTGAAATAGATCGGAATGTTACTAATGATTTATCATCATTTGTGATTTTAACAGGGCTGTCATCCAGTCTCACCGGTACAAAAAAGTGAAACGGTGACCGCTTCTCAGCAGAATAGGTGACAAAAAGTAATCCCTGAGACATTAGAATAGCGACTGAAAATGACATTTTTCATCAAATTCTAAGAGCAACTAAGATCATTCGAGCAAAAAAGTAATACTTATTCTATCGAAGATTATCTCAAGATAATTTAACATATAGCGAGTTCTTTTCACAGTACTCAGTTCACAGTAATTTGAAATATATATTCATAACAAGGAAAGACCAAGGACGCGAACGATACGATACAAGTATGCTTTCGGAGCAATCGTCAGCAGACAAAACGGCAAAAATATAAATAGAACATCTATATTTTATATATTTAGCGACAGCCCAGGAAAAAAGTGTGACTATAATGACCCGTTTTGTACGAAGTGTGACCCATTTTGTAGCGAGTTTTTTCATGACTTGTCAAGAAAAAGTGACAAAAAGTGATTTAAGTGACTGAATGGCAACACTGAATAATTTTTAACAAATCATTACCAAGCCAACATAAAAGTGTTCGTTAGAACAGCAAGTTGAGAGTACAAATCACTTGCTCCCGCTACAAGGTCATTTGGTAGTCCCACATCTACAAACCATTTGTCGCGGGTACGGAAAAAAAATTAGTCTTATAAATCAAGAATAGATATTCTCGTGCGTAAGCAAGAATGTGATAACCTTCTTGGGAGATATTAAGTCTTGAATTAAGTTCAAATATATACTTGTATCACATATAAATAATATAAATTCAATCAAATCAAGACTAAAACGTTTCCTAAGAAGATTATGATATTCTTGTTTATATATACGAGAATATCTATTCTTGATTTAAGACTAATTTTTTTTCCCGTGCGGTATCTTGTTGACAAAACAAACATTCTTCTCTCAGTGTACTGGTTTTCTCTTTTCACTAAGCTGATTCCTGAAATTGTCGAGTTTCAGCCACGTGATGAGAGGCCTGCGACTGTACGCTTCACTCGCTAACGCAGCTCGAGCACACAGCCGAACCCTATACTTAATCAGGTTGCACGTTCCCCGACGCTGCATTAAACGGAGCAGTAGGTGAAACCGCTGACGTGCACCGGCGGAAGAGAGGAGAAGCGGGAAAGAAAGAGAGAGAGAGAGAGAGAGGCGAGAGACGAGAGACGTCGGGCAGTAATCGAAACGCGATAGATTACTTACGGACCGTAGACTTCGAATCGCGAATAGCACTCCGCTCCCCGTTATTGCGCGCGTTACGTATTACGCGCGTTACGACGGGCCGGGTGTAACGGCAAATGCGATAAGTGATTATTTCCGCAATTACCAGCTTTCGGACGAGCTTCGCCGGCGGGCTAGGGCGAAGCGGGATCGGCAGAACGTAAGTCGCGTTTTTCTTTAGCGCACCCGCGGCTACCCGGCAATTTTCAGGGCGAGCGTGTCCCGTCGCGAACACGTGATTTATTTTCCGATCCGCGCGCGGGAAACCGGTGCGCGCCGCCGATAACCGGTAAGTTACGCGAGCCGAAAACCATATACCAACGCTGCCACTTTGCAGTGGCAGATTAATTGGGATAATTGCGGCGATGCAATAACCACGAGACTCGAGTATTCTTCGACGATCGATCTGACGGTCGCAATGCAATCATCGGAGGTGGTAATATTAATCTTACTTAACAGACATTTATTTGACTTGATGGATGCGTGAGAAATGCGGAGGGTATTAGGAGATACGATTAGAGACGATGTCTTAATTACACAGTCGGGGAATATCACGGTGACGCATTTAATGCCGGGTATCGCACGACCAACAGCATCTGGCGTGTGTTAAAGTGAACGCGTCTCATTTTTAATCGTGACTAAAGTCCCAACTTCCCAAGAATCATCGGATCATTTGTGCGCGAGTGGGAATATATTTTACGCGAAAATATCAGGCTGTTCGAAAAGTTCGTGTGGACTTCCGCGCGAAAAACTCGAAGCCGATACTCCCATAGTCAAGCGCGACTTTATTTATCTCGTTTTCTTTTTCCGACGATGCCCGCCGTCGAATAAAAAAAAACGATCGATGCATTGAATAAAGTCACGCCCAACTGTAGGTCTGCTCTTTTTCGCTGACCTGGCTGCGCTAGCTTGTATTAGTTCTCTCCTCCTCCTGCTTCCACCACGTTTTAACTGCGTATAACTGTACTGTTTTAAGTTCTACAAGTGTACATTAGTTTAGCGAAAAAGAACAGACCTTGGAGAAGCATCGGTCTTGAAACCTTCGTGAAAATCCAACTTATCGAACAACCCAGAACAGAACAGAAAATAAAAGGAAGATATACATTTTGCACTCACTGGCACTCATTCATGATTTCCTCCTGTGTTCGCACCTGCACCGGAGCCAATGACTCGACGTCGGTGCCGTAGTCGCGGAAGCAGGACGTGATCTTCTCGTCGAAGGTGTTGACGAGGTCTTCGAGGCTGCCGCTGAACGGGCTAAAGGTGCCTTCCTGAAGGATGTCGGTGCCATTCTCGTGGGTCTTCGGTGGCTCGTTCGCGTTGCAATTCTCGCCGAAAGTCGCGTCCAGGCTGGCGTCCAACAGTTGCTCTGCGCCATCGAGAGAACGATCAAGAGTTAGACAAATTCACACCTACGCATCCGAAATAGCTTCCCCCGCACCACGCGGATTCCGCATTTCACTGGGCGCGTTCTCCCGTGAAAAGCGTGGACCGCCATCAATCTTGAATAAATATGTAAACCGCGAAGAAAAGATGGCGAATTTTACCAACGCGGTGCACGTCGAGAGGTGAGAGACGGGTAAAAGCTCGTCTTTCTCGGATTCTCCGGCCAATCCGGAATCGATTTTTCCTCCCGCAGACATGTGCCGGTTTAAAATCCCTTCGTGTGTATTACACCAGCGCCGACGAAACGCAAAGATGAACCGAGGTCACGACTGGCGTCGCGGTATCGAGCGTTATCGGACGTGACACCGCTCGTCGCGTCAATAAATGTACGCTTATCCTTCGATACGCTTCGTTTCTTTTTTCATGTGTATTCCGATTCTATACGGACAAATAATAGAAATATTCCGAGAAATATCGCGTAAACTACAAAAACGAAAACAAGACGATCTCCGCAAAGGTTGATTGAAATTGGCTGAACGTTTCTCGGAGGTCCCCTCGTTCTTTTTAGAGACGAAATCTACAGAGGAGTGCCTGCATCGCAGTCAATGTCACGGCCTAGAAAGAGAGAAAGAGAGAGAGAGAGAGGGGGGGGGAGGGGGAGAAAGAGAGAGAGAAGATCAATTAAATCTCAACGAGATCAATGGTGTCCGGCGTGGGCAGAATCGGCACATCGCATGACAGAAAATCAAGGATATCTGGGAAGCCGAGGGACGGTTCGAATATCGCACGCGAATGAAAACACGGCGGGCAGGAATCTCGGGAGGAATCCCCGTGCGAAGCTAGCCGGGCGAAGAAGAGCGACCATTTTTCGGCCACGTCAAGGCGACCGAACGACGAAAATAAATTCGTGCGCGAAGAAGCGAGCTCCGGTTGCACCGGTGACGGTCTAGGTTAGACAAACCTGGCTCTCTCGTTTCTCCTCCATCGAGAGCCTATCTGCCAACTCGCAGCCAAAGTGGAACATTTCACGAACAATAAACGGCGAGAATAGGCGACCGGTCCCGATATCCCTTCGTGAAGGCTGCGCCGGGTTTTCGAGAAGCTACGAGACCCATGACACCTGGCGATGCCCGAGGAATGCATCGCAGGTATCGCCGGGATTTCTTTTCTTATTTTTTCCCCGAAACTCACGGAAGACGACCGCTCGGAAAAATGGACCGGCAAGCCTGTCGTAAAAATCCGAGTGTCGAGAGTGTCGCGCGAGACAACTTGCGCGGAATTACGTCATCGCTGCGAACGCTATCGCCGATCGTTTAAGGATCATTTAAAAGGAGAGCGGAATTGGAGAGATCAACAACGAGACGAGCTGACGTTAAAGCGCAGCGCGGGCCGTGCATGCTGTTCCCGGGCGCGTCCGGGCGAAAAAGGTCCGCGGTAACGAGATGGCAAAGAAGAGAAAAACGCGCAGCGAGCGTGTGTATTTCTGTTGCCGCACCTGTCAGGAGATTCATGTTCTTCAGGCTGGCGGTGTCCTCCTCCTCGAAGCGCGCGAGGGGTGCCTCGAACTTCAACTCGGCGATCTTGCCTGCCATGTCCCTCATTATTGAGCGTGAGGGAGTACCGGGCGCGGCGGGACAATTCGCGACGTAGCTCCCGCGATCGCGTCGCGCTTCCGAGGCCGCCGCCGCGACGTCGCGCCTCTCTCTCTCCTTATCCGACGAGATCTCGCGAACGGCCGAGGTGACGACGAGTCGGCCGAAACATGAAGGAGGAACCACGCACACCCGGGACGCCGCGCGATAACCTCTGTCAACACACGCGAGCGAGCCGACTGACGCGGACGCTACCGCGGAGGGGGTTACTCCTCTTCGCTGTTCCTCGGTGGCCGTGGTGGTGGTGGTGATGGTGGCGGTGGTGGTGGTGGAGGAGCGGAGCGGAGTGGCGACAGTGGTGGCGGCGGCGGCGGCGGCGGCAGTAGTAGTGGTGGGTCATGGTGGGCAGCCGTGGTGGAGGAGGCAGAGGTGGAAGATGATCGCTCGTCGCCATGGCAACCGCTGGCTGAGCGCGCTGATGTCACGAATCATCTCTCAGGACCGGCTCTATCGGCTGAAGATGTTATCGGAATTTATCCCACCTTTCGTTTTTTCTCCATAGTTTTAAGAGACCCGGTTTTCTCCCATTTTTTTCCGTGAATTTCTTTGATGATTTTTTTCACCGGAAGAAAAATAAAGGCGGGTTTTAACCGAACACACGTGAATTTTTCTACCCTTGGAACGAGAACCGGAGAAATTTGGGGAAAATGGGGGGAAAACCGGGGGTTTTAAAGCTATAGATTTGTTGGACGAAGCTAATGCGATTTTGCACTTTGCCTAAGTAAATTTATCCTGCCTGTGTCAGCTGTTTACAGATAAGATTGTGATATTTGGACTCTCAGACTGCGTATCTCAGGAAGGCGCATAATCACGTGTACCGTCGTATCTACGTTGATACGATACCTGCGGAATTTCCTTAGGTGAGCTCCTTGAGAGCTCCTTGGGAGCTCTATTCTCGCGTGGCTCGTCAAAACGTGGCTTGGTACGAGACATCGATTCACGCCAGATCGTTTAGATCGCGAATTTCATCGTCGGAGCGAAATATGAAAAAGATGACTGACTTATCACAAGTCGAGCTTACCAATTGCTTAGTCTGCGAGCGTAAAGTCAGCTTTTCGCAAACAAACTTCTTCTCAAGCATCTTTTCATATTTGATAGATTTTCTTGGAAGATCCGAAAACTTGCTTCAGAACATTGGTGTTGATGTAATCGTACCTTAATCGTACGATATTGCGATACGCTTCATCGCTCTTTGGATAGAAGACAATCTTGCCAACGAGACGGTAAGATGTCGCTGTCAGTGATGAAAGCTGCCACACCGACGAAGTGTAATACTAGACCATCCTGGGTGAATTTCGTGCATGCTTCGAAGCCCGAAGGTACCTGAAGAAAGGTGACATTACCGACTATTTTTAATCATTCGATATAAATATCTGGATTGTGGCATATAATTAATATTAATTTTACAATTTACAGTTATCTATCGATGTTCTCTCGATATATATATATAGTCCTACAATGAAGTATATTAAATATTTTTATGAAACTGCATCTTTGCAATTATCGTCTATGCTCATTTGATACGAATTTACTGATAAATTTATCGACCGGAGATTATTAAACAGCGAAATTTTGCCGCACGTTAAATTCGGTAAGGCCAATAGTCTTTGGTATTACCTTATCAGTGGCTGCCGTATTGATGCCGCAAGGAAATAAATGTCAACAATATTGTCATAAAATGAAGTTCCCGAATTTTCTTCTATTTTACTTATTTTTCGTTATGTCACTAATTATAATTAATGATAAAAGAGGAAAATAAAACAGAACATTGATAAGATGAAAATATAAAATTAAAAAATACTTAGACAATATAATGTTTAAATCGGGACATAAGATGTCTTTAAGACGTTACCTGAATGGATGTCAGATTTCCTCGAAAGGTAACGGTTTAATGATATAGCTAATAGTGCAGCAATCGATAACGTCTTTAGCAATTGTTAGTGACAGCCGATACATGGCATTAAAACCTTTATTTCCATGTGATGTATAATGCTGTGCGCAATTGTAGTTTTGGTGTAAAAGCAACGATGTCCTCTGTCAAATACTAAAATACAGGATGAGGCAATAATTATTACCACCTTGAATATCTCCGATAAATAAAAGTATTTTATTAACGATTTAATGTGTGAAAATGAAAAAGTTTATATTTACAGAAAGTGTTCAAAGTAGTGATCATTGGTACCAATATTATTTTTATTAAACAATTTTTTTTTCCTACTCTCATATTTCATAAATATACAGGCTGTCTGGGAAGTTTTGGCGAAACGGCCGTGTACAGGTATAGGTATAGGTAGAACAGATTAAATTGAGAAAAGTAATTTACCATTTTGCAAACAACCACACAAAATTTCATATTATTAATTATTGAAAATAGCCATATATATTCTTTAACTGATAATTACAAAATTTACGCGTTATTCGCAAAATGGTAAAGGACCTTTTTGTTCAAAGTGGTTTCTAATCTATATAAGTATATGGCTTGTATCTAGTAATAGACATCACTATGTTGAATCTTCAACTTCGAATCTTGAACCTGTCGCTAGTTATAATTAGTCATATATTTATAGATTAGGCCATTCTAAACAGAAAAGTCCTTTGCGATTTTGCAAAATTACCATGTTGCAAATAACATGCAAATTTTTAAGTTGTTAATCAAAAAAGTTTTTATACATGACCATTTTGAATAATTAATAACTTGAATTTTTATATGATTATTTGCAAAATGGTAGAGGACTTTTTTATTTAGTTTACTCCGTTTTACCTGCATACGGCCGTTTCGTCAAAACTTTCCGGACACCTTGTATATACTTCAAGGTATGGAAATAGTTATTGCCTCATTCTGTATAATATGGATAATATATTACAAATTGCAGTTTGCAACCCAGTTAAATAAAACCTTTTTTATCTAGATATTTCCAACCTTCTTTAGTTTGAATAAATTGAACACAATTAATTTTTCTTTAATGTCGAGACACAAATAGTTTTCGAGCTGTGTTTGATTGAAACAAGGACTACACCAAATAGCACTTTAAGAATGCAAATAAATAATTTCTGTAAAATACGATTGATGAGAGATTATATAAAAAAATATAGTAATCTCATAGCTACTCATCAGTCACGGCAGAAATATAATTCAACATTATATTATTATATTATTGAACATTATATTATAATATTATCGAAATCAAAATGTCTGCACAGCTGAATATTCTGCTTTTACAGAGAAAAAGTATTCCGTTGAGCTCTTAATAGATACTCGAAATGAGCCAATAAACATTAATGCCACCTAGGTGATAACTCGAATGCTGCAGAAAAAAGTATTCAGCCATTCGCGAGTTGCATAAAGAAGCAAGGCGATTATCGAGCCGAGCTCGAAAGAACGCGCGATCTGATTTTCATCCTTGGCGAAGCGACGGATAGATAATCACATGCTTCGTGATGCATGTCGTAAAACAGAATAACGTCGTCACCTGTAATACGTAATTCACGATTTTATTATATACCTTTGCATCGGTACGTATAGCAGGTGTTGTTAGTTTTCCGTAAAATCTCGTACGATAACGCGCATTTTTCAAGTATCAAGCTACCGCCCGTTATTTTCTTGATAATCATTTTCGTACCTTTCGAGAGAAAAACGGTTAATGGCAGTTTCTTTGTTTTACATTTATAGAAATCTTAGTTAATTTTTAAGTTTCTTACTTGATTTCCAAACACATCTCGAGATAACGTATATTAACTGCGCTTATTAATATCTTACGCTTATTAATATCTGATTAAAGAACAAAATTTAATTTAGTTGAGTTCAGAAAGAGATTTTGAAATCTTAATGTATGTATTCAAGGAATCCTCAGACATACAAAACGAATTAAAAAACTAAAGAAACGAGATTAAGGACTATTTTCTTTCAAGGCAGAATTACTCACATTCGTAAATTTCGCACTCTCCGTGCCGCCGATCGCCCGAAGCGCGGGCAACGGCCGGCAATCTATATCTGTCATAAACTTTTATCGTCGTATTGGAAAACAATTCCAAACAACTTCGATGCTGATACGTGCCTGTGTTAGTGCAGGCGGAGTATATGTGTGCGCGCAAGCGCGCGCGTGTGTGTGTGTGCGGAAAGAAAGACAATAAATGAGGGATTGTAGTCAGCCTTGGCATCGCACCTCTCGCAACATAAACTGCTTTGTCAACGGCGGACGATTTTTTTTAAATAAAAATGATGTCGAAAACGCCCTCTAGGAACTAGTTAACTCGGCGCTGAAATTCTCCACAGTGAGAATTCCCACAATGGAAAATTTTATCATTGTAAAAAATTAGGATAAAATATAATGTATAAAATATAAAATATATAATATATAATATTATATGTATGTAATATATGCTGATAATGTACACAGTCTTAAATTAAAAAAATCTTAAATAAGATCAACTATGAATGATCAACAAATCAATTATAGACGATTGACGTGTGATATTTTTGAAAATCGTCAAAATGTGTTTATGTGTAAACGGTAAAAAACATTTGTTAAAATCGATCCTTGTTAAAATTTCTAAGTTAATTTTTTTACATATCCGTATGTTAATTTAACATATTGTGTTTATGTTACCCCACGATATTTTGTACTAAGTCAATATTCAACATATGTAAGGTAAAAGTACCAACACCCAGATATGTCAACTTGGACACACACACACACACACATTCTTATTGCCTTGGTTTTTAACCACAAATATCTAAATTTTCGACCATATGAATATGAATATATATATACATATATCTATGTTGAAAGTTTAATTCATAACTGTTATAAAATAACACTTTTAAACGTTAAAATAATATTTTATATTTCAGTGTCGATTAATATATTATGGATATTACGATTCTGTGTTCATTTTTGAAATAATATTTGTATTATTTTTCAACATATTCACTTTATTTTAAATTAACACAAAAATTGGTGTGGACCGTTTGGGACATGTAAAATGTGTTAAATTTAGTAAAATTTTTTACCATATAGAGTCAAGAATGTCAAGTGACACATTGCGCGTTAAGCGCACACTAATTCCTACGGCCGTTTCTGACGCGTCGACATGTCAGGGATGATTTCTATCGCAATCCCCGCGGATTACAATTGGACAGGAAATTGTGTAAGACGCACGAGTGCGATACGCGAATAGTGAACGCGATATCACACCGCTGAATTAAGTTGTTTCCGCTTTACCGCGTATGCTAATCCAATTTCCGAAGCGCAAAGTATACCGTAA